TTTTTTTTTTTTCGATCCGCCCTCGACAGAGCTGACGGACGCCAAGATGCAGGGACCTGACAAGGCCCCGCACTTCGGAAAAGAGACAAAAAAGGAAAAGAAAAATAGGCCGGGTTTCCAAAGGGCCCGAAGCCATTTTTTTTTTCGGAATTCCTGGCCCGCAAAAAAAATGCCAAAATACGGATTTTCCAACCATTTTCCTGTTTTCTCGCAAGATGATTCAAGATGCAACCCACACCTGCTCGACCTGCTTCACACGTGGCGACAGAGGTTGCAGTCCTGCGCTACTTGACCCGGTACCAATCATTGCTTTCGTCCTTCCATGGCTGCATCGCCGGCGAGCGAAAGTTGCAGCCATTGCATCCAGCGTAGCGGAGACAGCGCAAGAGTGTTAGAGATCGAATCGGCGGCGAGCGCGAGCTGCAAAGCTTGGAGCCGTGACACGGGACCGTGTCGCCTTGCCTGTGCCGGACGGACGGGGCGCGTGTTGGTCGAATCGGCGAGGAGAGCTGCCAAAATCCGAACAAGGAATAGCTGGACCCGCACTGCACCCTGACCGCCCTGCAGCCTCTCTCGCTTGGCCCCCGCCCCACCCGCCACGCGCAGCCGCTGCCGCTGCACTCCACTCGAGGAAAGCGGCACTGCAATGCGCCGCCACGCCACTCACTGCCTCACAGCTTCTGAGCAGCAGCTGCCCAGCTCGGCCACGCCGAGTCGCCCCGCCGTCGATGGGCAGCCGTTCTTCCTGCCTTTCCTTGTCGCCTCCTTCATCTCATCGGGTTGCCTCCGCATCTTTGGCGACAGCGGCGTCCGCACCGAAAACTGACGCACCCCACACACTTCATATCGGAGCACGCAGGTCCCTGCACGATTGCATACCGGCTCCACCCCGGCGAGCGACGACACCCTTTGGCTCCCGCCACCTCATTTGTCAACAGTCGCCCCCACCAATCATCATAGACCGATCCAGACCAGAGCCAGCCACCTCATTAGACCCATCCGATCGCACACCGCCGTTGCTGGAGGCCGGTGCAGAGTATAAGATCGCAACACCTACTGTTGCCCCCCTCTTCGGCTTCAGACACACGCATCATCCGTCCCTCGCCTCCGATTCGCCGCCACAACAGCATGTCGATCAGTGCTCTCTCCATGTACAAGAGCTGCCCGCCGGGCCTCACCTCCTCCAACGGCACAGCTTGCAACACCGCCACGTGCAGCTCCCCCTTCGTCGCGCCAGACGCACGCACACCCAAGCCCACTGCCGACAAGCAGTGCAGCTCATGCGACGCCGGCTTCGGAGGCATCAACTGCAACGTCTGCCAGTCGCCCAGCGCCTGCCAGGCACGCAAGTCGTCGCTCGGTCTTGGCTCCTCCTCCTCCCTCTTTGGCACCAACGACACGCTCGTGTGCCACAAGCAGCCCTCGGCCGTTCGTACGACCTACATCGACTGTAACGTCAACCAGACCACCGTCAACGGCGTCTATCCGGGCGAGATGCGCATGACCCTCTCCAAGACTTACCAGACCGACGACTTTGCCCACACAGGCCTCGCCACCTGGCCCGAGCAGCAAAACACCGCCCTCTCCCAGGTATGGCTCGACGGCGTGGAGCAGTTCTACTGCCAGGCGGCCGGATGCACCGCCCGCAACTCGACAGAGACTCTCGACCCGCAAGCACGATTCGGCAGCTCGCTCTGGACGTGCTCCTCGCTCCAATGCTACTGCATTCCCGGCACGACCATGTGCGGCAAGGGTCAGCTCGACCTCTCGCCCGTCATCAACCAGCTCAACGGCACGCTCACCATGCCTTGCGACTACCTCGACCCCGCCAACCCAACCGCCGTCTCCCACTGCGCCTTCCGTGGCGAGCTGCTCAACAACTTCCTTGGTTCCCAGGGTCTTCCGCTCGACCAATGTCAGTTCGGCTCTTGCATCACTCAGGCCGAGCTCGACACTTTCTGGGCCACCGGCTCGGGCGAGTCGAGTAGCAACGGCAGCCGCTCGGGGCTCAGCAATGCTGTCATTGCCGGTCTTGTCATTCTCGGCGTTGCAGTGGCCGCCATCGCGGCGCTGCTCCTCATCGGCCTCTGGCAACAGAGGAAGGCTAGGCGTCTGCCAAAGGGCGCCATCGCCGAGCCGCTCGGCCTGCAGTGGTACAACCTCACCTATGCCGTGCCAGACACCAGCGTGGGTCTGCGCAGGCGTAAGCCCACACCAAGCGCCGAGCAGCTCGCCGAGACTGTGCCCTCCACGCCGTTCCACGCGTCGTCCGCTTCGGGTGGCGATCTGACCGTGCTGCGCAACAGCTCGGGCCGCATCGAGCCCGGCTGCATGGTCGCCGTACTTGGCCCTTCGGGTGCCGGTAAGACGAGTCTCGTCGAGATCCTGGCAGGCCGCCACAAGATCGGCCGCGTCTCGGGCGCCATCCATGCACTCGAACCCGTCGCCGCCGAGGCATTCGAGGCGGGGCCATCGCGACGCTCCATCGGCTTTGTCGATCAGGAGGACGCACTGCCTGCCTTCTCGACGGTGCGCGAGGCTCTGCAGATGGCTGCCGACCTCTCGCTGCCGGACAATGTGTTGCCTGCCGAGAAGAGCGAGATCGTCAGCACGACCATTGCACAGCTTGGGCTGGAGCGCGTGGCGGACAAGCGCATCGGGGATTCCACCCGTCGCGGCCTGTCGGGCGGCGAGCGAAGACGAGTGTCGATCGGATGTGCGCTCGTTTCGCGCCCGCGTCTGCTCGTCGCGGACGAACCGCTTTCGGGCCTGGATGCCTTCTCCGCCTCACGCGTCGTGGCGGCGTTCCGCGAGCTGGCGCACGGCGCAGGTGCTGGCTCGACCACGGTCGTCGTCACGGTTCACCAGCCATCGTCCGAGATCTACTACAGCTTTGACCAGGTGATGCTCATGTCGCACGGTGCGGTGCTGTACCATGGCTCGCCGGCCGATTCGCTTGAGTGGTGCCAGAAGATGGGCGAATCGTGCCCGCCTGGACACAATGTGGCTGATCACCTGCTCAGGATCGCCTCGGCGCCTCACACGAGCACCGAGACACCACTGCACGAGAAGTCGAGCAGTCTTTCCGACGGCGCTACCGGCGATGCCGACACGGGCTCGGTCGAGGCAGGCA